TAAGAGGCAAGCAATATTCAGATCATGGAGGCCTATAAAAGGGTGCTCTGGTCTAAGGTTCAGAATACACAGCTCTAGAGTTTTCGAGCTCCTTTCTTCCCCCTCTTGTGTGCTCTCTTACTTGCTGAGTTTACTACTATCTTCTGCTGTTCTGCTCACCCTGTTTTATAGGAAGGATCCGTTTAATCCTGAGGAGTGCCGCATCCTTATCTACCAGTGGTTGTGGAATAACTCTTAAGGACAGCGTCCTTAGGACGTGACTCGGATTAACTATTTTTGCAAGTGCTGCCGCCAACAATTTCTGTTTGACCGAACATCCCGATCATTTTTTTATAATGAAAATTCAAAAAAAAAAAAGAACCAAATGAAGGTAGTAAACAAATATTGAAAAGTCACAATAACTAAATGACTGCAAAACAAGAGTCATGTCATCTCTCTTACAACAACGCAACAAGTCTCCATTTCTTCTACAAAGACTCAAATCCAAAAATTTCTACTCTTATAAGTTCAGTAATCTCCTCACCATACCCTTAAAATTTCAAATATCCTTTGAAGCTCCACAATCTTTACTTTCAAACCAGAGCAATGAAGAGTAAAGGAGCAGGACAACTATAATAGAAAGAAAAGAAAGGACGAAACAGGAAAAATAAGCAGTACACCGTACGCACATGAGATATTCAGTAAATAAAGGCTGCATAATGAAGATAGAGAGCAAACCATCATGAAGATCGAAGGCGGCGAATTCCCCAATCGCAAGTTGAGAAGCGGTATATATGCTGTTGTGCCAAGTTATAAATCCCTTTTCTCCCTTTTTTGCCCCCAAAAAGTTGATTTCGTTTGGGTTTTAGGTGTTTAAAAAAAAACACGTCAATGCCGTACAGTGGCACTTTTGAAATTGAGCCCAATAAAGATTGGGCTAACAATTTATTTTTTGAAATTTGGGTCCAAGCTTCATAATACTAATTGAAAATAGGATGTATGAAGTCAAAAAAGAATAATAATAAGGTACTAAAAACTGAACCGGTAATTGAATTGGTTGAAATAGTGAGTTAAGAATTAGTGGGTTACATCGGAATCAAACCGATATTAATTAATATAATATATTTTCATATATATATAAATATGTGTGTGTTAGTTATTTTAAATAAAAATAAAGCTAAAATATAAAAACAAAGATCAAATAATAGTAAATACATGTGACTTATTTTGTAATTATAATAATATGTTTGAAATAAAGGATATATATATTCCGAGAATTATATATAGCAAATAAAACTCTATAATATAAATATTTATTAGACAAATCCATCTCCAATTTAATTTGTGGTTTCGTATCTTCTGTGGAAACTTCACCGTGTTGTTAGCAAACTATTTAGGGTGTGTTTGGATGAAACCAAACCATGGTTTGGAGAATAGATTCTGGAGAATAGATTCTGAAAAAAATAGATTTTGGGAAGAATAGATTTTGTGAAAAAGTGATTTTGAGAAGTGTGAGTGTTTGGATAGTTGTTATTAGAAGTACTTTTTATATATACAAATTGGCATAAATTAATATGATAATTATAGAAAAAATATATTTTATGATATATTTTAATTTGAAGGAATAAAATTGTTAATAATATTTTTTATTAACATATATTAATAATATATAAGATAATATAATTAATAAATAATTAATATGTATATATATTTATAAGATATAAGATTAAATATGTTTATAAAAAATATGTTTATAAAAAAAATAACAAGATATATATCCTATAGGCTCTCACACTCTCCCTTTTTTCTCCAAAAGTAAAAAATTTCTGCTTTTCCCAAAACCATGGTTTTGAACCCAAACCATGGTTTTGATTTTTTTAAGGGTGTTTGGCTAACATTTTTCTCAAACCATGGTTTGGGGTGCTTGCCAAACACACCCTTAATATATTATGAATATTAATTTAATATATTTCAAATTTTATTTTTCTCTCTCCCTTTTTATTATTTGCAAGGCTTCTCACATTTTCAAAATCTGAATCCATATCACATCTCTTTTTTAAAAGTCGTCAGGTAGTCAGGCTCTTCATTTTTTAATTATTTTCTTGGAAAAATTACAAATAAAAACCCCTAAATATGTAAAATTATGATTTGGGACCTTAAATTTGAAAAATAGCAAATAAGGACCTGGTCTCACTTTTTCAAATATGAAATGTGAGTGAAATGTCTGAAATGCCTCTCATTCAAATGACAAGTTGACTATGAAAAATGACAAGCTCATTTTAGCGAATGACAACTTCAGTAGACCAAATCACAACTTGACTGAAGGTAGGTTAAATGACGAGTTGACTATGAGAAATAACAAGTTCACTTTAACAAATGACAACTTCAGTAGACCAAATCACAATTTGACTGAGAAGTATTTCAGACATTTCACCCACATTTCATATTTGCAAAAGTGAGATCGGGTTCTTATTTACTATTTTTTAAATTCAGAGTCCCAAATCACAATTTTACATATTCGAGAGTCTTCATTTGCAATTTGTCCTATTGTCTTTCCTTCTTCCTGTTTGCTCCCTTCTTCTTCTTTTATTTCTTTTTCTCTTTCTTTATTTTAGATTCTCTTCTTCTATCCTCTATTTTTATACCTCCACATCTCACACCTCATTTTCGTTTAAGAGGCTCTCGCAAAATTAGAGAAAGGTGAATAAATCAAGGTCAACTGACTTATAGTTTAAAAGGATAAAAGGTGACTTACAGAGACTGGGGAAGAGGGTTAAGAGGGGAAGAGAGCGGTCTTTCTTTTATTTGTACCTCATCATCTTGGGTTCATATGCGTTAGTTCTTCTCTATCTGTTTTCTTTCAAACCACCAGACTAACTTGTTCAACCCGACGGGTTGCCCCATTTATGTCCCATTCACATCGAGTTAGGCTGCACACCGGTTTGACATTCTTCCAATTAAGTAGATGAATTGGACCAGACAAAGAGTCAATTCGAGTTTTTGGTCCGGTTTTACAAACACCGTAAAAAAAAAGTAAATATGTTAGGACGAGAGAATCTCGTTCAACTTCTTGTGAAGAAGTGGGAATACAAGTCAACCCTGCAGGGTCGACGGACATAAAAGAGTTGGCCCTATAGGGGCAACCCCAATTTGCTATGTTTGGTCCTTAAACTAACGAGCCAAAAGTTGGCTCGCGGGCTTTCAGCCCATGTAAGGGGGAAAAAAAAATGCTATTTTCATATTTTTTTTTCACTTTTTTATAAAAAAATCAATGAAATTAGTAATAAAAGACAATATGAATAAAATTAAGTCACAAATATAAAATATCATCATATCTAAATATCCGTTAACATCTAAGAACATTTAAAACATCCATCAACAAAACCATAACATCCAAAAGTTTCATTAATAGTATAAATATGCAAAAACAAACACCATCACTAATTTTTTAAAATTTCATCGTCACTATAATCAACTACTCTTTTTCATGAGTATGCTTTTCTTTCATAGCAAAAATATCAAGTTTTTCTTCTTTATAGAAATTTCACTTTTAAATTTTATAGTCTAGCTATTATTTTATTATAATTTGAGAAGCATTGTTGAAACTCATAAATTTTTAATTCCAATTATAGAATCACCAGTTATATAAGTATAAAATACTCTTTTATTAAATATATATAGTTTAAAAATATCAGTCCATATAATATAAATCAAATTATTATTAAAGTCCAAATTAACTTATTTTATAAAATTTAATTGAGCAAATTATTGTCTAAAACTAAATAAATCAAACAATTCTGTAAAATTTAATTTCAAAATAATAATAACTAAATATTCAAAATATCATTAATGATTAAAAAATTAATAATATTATAATTATATAAAAAATTTAAAAAAATTATAAAAGAACCTAAACAAGCTGACTCGTTCAAACCCTCAGCCCTATGGGGTCAACTCTTTTAAACTTGTTTTTATTTGAAGAGAAAAATTTCAAACCCAATCCTCACAATTTTCAAACCTAAACGGCAAACCTGACGGATTCGGCTCGTTTTTCCAACTCTATTCCTATCTCATCTTGGTCATATATTATGTTATGCCCCAGTTTGTCCTCATATGACTAGGACAAGATAGACCAATTTTAAACACTCCTATCATTAGTGAGAGCATAGGGAAGGGGATGTGAAAAAAAAAACAAATGTAGGGGTATTTTGATAATTACGTTATAATTAAATTTCATTTAAGGACTAATAAGTGCATGTTTGGTCGAGCCTGTATATTATGTTTGTATAAAAGTTGGAGGCAAATGCTTTTGCTTGAAAAAAGTTAGCTCAGGTCCAAAGCAACAATGTGCAGCTTCTAGTTCTAAATTAGAGTGCGTTGCATTATATGCTTTTTAAAATTTTCAACAACTAAGGGAGTGTTTGGCAATTTTAAAAAGTGCTTCTCCGAAAACTTTTCCACAAAACGAGACAAACTCCTCCATATATTTACTTCGTAAACTGTAAAAGCACTTTTAAAACCATAATTTGTTTCCATCCAAACACCCCTTAAAACTAAAATGTTGATATTTGTCTGACGTATTATGGACAATTTAGGAGGCTAGAATCTTTTGATTTAAAAAATTCTAACTAAGAACCAAGACCCTCAACTAAACTTAAGAAAATACTTATGTACCAAAATATCATATTTGCTAAACATATAACAAGTTCCGGAAAAAAAAAACAATTTTAAAAAAAATCAAATTAATCTTTATTCAAAATGTACACTAGTTGAAAAACTTTAACCTTAAATGTTTTTGGAGTCCAACAACTCATCAAATAAAAAATGACTTGGAAATGGTCTGGTTAAAAAATTATAATTATAAATAATGAAAGTTTAATAGTAAATTAATACCAAATTCTTTCCACTTCGTCCTTGCCGTTTTCTAATTCTCCTTCTTTCTAGCTTCTCGTCTCAGTTCTCAGTCTCACTCCTCACTTCTCAGTCTGTTGTTGTTTCTTCCTATTCCCACTGCTTCTCCAATGGCTGACCCTATTCTTCACCCTGAGACCAACCACCACCACCACCACACCCAACCCCTCCGAGAGATCGCCGTTGACTACACTCCTGAAGCTTGTTCCCACTGCCCGGACTCCAACTCCATCGCCCTCACCTTCGACCACCGCGGAGGCGCACGGTGGCGCACCACCAACCGATTCCTTTACGGCACCTTCAGCACCCTCATCCAATGCCCCACAGGCAACACCAGTGGCCTCAATTTCAACATCTACCTCTCCTCCCTCGAAGGCGACAAATCCCAAGACGAGATCGACTTCGAGTTCCTGGGCAAAGACAAGAAGATCGTGCAAACCAATTTCTACACTCGCGGGACTGGGAACAGAGAGCAGATTCACGATCTGGGATTTGATTGCTCGGACGGCTTTCACGAATATGTGATCAAATGGAGCCGTGATTCGATCGAGTGGGTGATTGATGGGAAGGTAGTGAGAAGAGAGGAGAGGAAGGAAGGGGACGGAAATGGTGAATTAGGGTTTCCTGAGAAGCCAATGTTTCTGTATGCTTCGATTTGGGATGCTAGCTATATCGCTGAGGGAAATTGGACCGGTAAGTACGATGGTTCTGGTGCTCCTTATGTTTGCCTCTATAAGCACATCCGTGTACCCATTGGGACTGCTTGTGATTCCTGATCCGGCTTCTTCATCTTCAGCTACTTGTGTCTCTGAATTATGCGATTTCTATAACAATGTTGTAATTTTGTCTTGCTTGCGTTTTCAAACTGTGAAGTCATTTCTATTATTGGCTTGAGTTCTGATTGTTGATCTGACAAGTTACTCTTCTAGGAAGCATTATGCACAGATTAAAGCAGAGGCTAATATTGTTTTGATCAGTGATCTTGATATTTCAAAATACCGAACGGGAACTGCTTGTGATTCTTGATCTGGATTCTTCTTCTTGTTCTTCAACTGTTAGTGTTGTCTGTGAATAATTACGTGCTTGTGAAGCTTTTGTCTTAGTTTGGAAAATCTATTCTTGAGTTCTGGCATTGGGATGGTGGATTCCCTATAATGTCATTTTACTCAATACATATGGATTTATAAAATTTTAATAATAAGTTATCAGTATAAATCAGTTGTGATTTCTTTTTTTTTTTTTTGGTGAAATAAGGGGGCCAAGCCCAACAAGAAAACACTTAAGTAGTTATCCTACGAGGTATACAGACACCTTCTACATCTTCCTTCAAAATATCAAGGACTTCGCCCGGTGGTTCCTTCCAGACCACTCTTTCCATTGGAAGTTTCAGACTCAGCTGAGCTATTCGATCAGCACACCTGTTTCCTTCACGAAAGACATGCTTGAGGGTAATACTCCAATCTCTATTCAGCAATTCTTCTATTTTGGTTGATATGTTAAAGCAACCATTGAATCTTTTGGTTGTTCGGAGTTCTTCTATTAGTTGCTTGGCGTCACATTCAACTTCAACTTGCCTAAAACCTAGCCTCCAGCATAGTTGTAATCCTTCACATATACCCCATGCTTCCGCTTGTTCAATATCACATGCTTGAAGTTTCCACGCATAACCCTGAATCCATTCACTGCAATCCCCCCTTATGACTCCACCACATCCTGTGCGTCCTGTATAAGCTTTGGCTGCATCTGTATTTAGTTTACACCAACTCTTAGCAGGTGGCTGCCACGAGATATAAATGATCTCAGTCCTTGGCGTGTCTCCATACTCTGGGTCCCATCTTCTTGAGTAGTCTTTTTGGTGTTGTCTGATAACTTTACTCGCATTCCACGGCACCTCACAGGTTGGATCATGTAGTTGTTTATTTCTCCATTTCCACATATACCAACACCCCGTAGCAAAAAGCTCTGGCCATAGTATATCTTCTATTTTCTTTGCCTGGTATTCAATGTTGCCTCTTATCCATGAGCATAAATTCCCTTTGAAAAATTGTTGTCTTACCTGTGTAGGTATTATCTCCTCCCATATTGCTTGAACTCGTGGGCAATCCCTCAAGGCATGTATAGGATCTTCCACTTTCGTCCGACATATTCCACAAATTCCGCTGGATCCATCCCACTTGCTCGTCCTCTTTTTAGTCAGGATTCTGTTGTTCAGTGCTAACCACAGAAATACCTTGATTCTTTCGGCCACCTGTAGCTTCCACAGTCGTTTCCATCTCCAATGGTACCCATGAGTCATTTCCTTTCTGCACTCTGCATATGCACTTGACATTGTGAACTCTCCGTTGACCGTTGGAGCCCACTTCCTCTTGTCCTCCTGAGCACTTTCAATTGGAGGTTTTAATTTTTTAATATCATCAATGATATCCCTTGGCAGGATGCGTTCAAGTTCTGCTAGGCTCCAGTTTCCTTCTTCATCTACTAGTTGGTCAACTGTGAGATTCTTGTTGATCTGTATATTTCCTTTTGCATGCTCTATAAGTCGCTTTCTTTGTGGGGTCCACATATCCGTCCATACATTAGTGCTGCGTCCATTTCTGATTTCTACTGCCACATTTCTTCTGAATTCCTCTGTCAGTTTCACCATCTCTTTCCAAAGTGTTGAATCAGACTCCTTTGCTACGGGCCCGTCTTCCTTTACTTCTCTTCCGTATTTTCCAGTCAGCACTTGGCACCATAGATCATCTGGTTTCACATTTAGCCGCCATATCAGCTTGAGTAAGAATGCATTGTTCATGTCTTTCAAGGATTTGATGCCCATTCCCCCTTCATCCTTTGATTGACACATTTGCCTCCAGCTTATGGCATGCCATTTCCTCTGTCCATTCCGTTCTCCCCATACAAATCTCCTTTGCTCTCGCTCTATTTCCTCAACAACCCCTAGAGGCATGCTGTCATGCTGCATGGGGTAGAGTGCCATAGAGCTTGTAACTGATTTCACTAGAGTTACACATCCTGCAAGGGATAGGCTTTCTGCTTTCCATCCACTCAACTTACTCCGTATTTTCTCCACAATCTTGTTATATTTCATCTTCCGTCTCCTTGGGAAGGAGATTTCAGCACCAAGATATCTCCCCAGCTCCTCTACTTGCTTGAAGCCACTCCTCCGACATATTTCTTTCCGTGCTGACTGTTGTACATTGGGGGAGAAGTATATAACTGTTTTCTCATTGCTCACCTTGTGTCCGGATAGCTCTCCAAAAACCTGCAAACAATCAACAATTGTATCTATTTGTTCAACGTTAGCTTCAGCAAAAAGAACCAGGTCATCTGCAAACATCATATGTGATATAGTGGGACTTTTTCTGCTAGCTCTCATGCCTCTCCATTTTCTCTCTCTCACTTTATCTAGGATGAGATGGGTGAGTTTTTCCATTCCGAGTACAAACAGATAGGGGGAGATAGGGTCCCCTTGCCTTATCCCTCTCGAAGGATTGATAGCTTCTAGTTTTTCCCCATGCCAGAGTATCTTTGTTGAATACGTGTGGATACATCCCATAATTCTTGCTATCATGTCTTGAGGACACTTCATTTCTGTGAGCACCTTCTCCATGAACTTCCAGTTTATCCTATCATAGGCCTTTTCGAGGTCCACTTTGATTGCCATAAATCCCTTCTTTCCTTTCTTTCTCTTCATGGTGTGGATCATTTCATTGACAATAATGATATTATCATGAATGTTTCTTCCTGGGATAAAACTCACTTGAAACGGGGATACCACACGATCCATAAAGCTCTTGAGTCTTTGAACAATGATCTTGGACACACACTTGTATATAACATTACACAGGGAAATAGGCCTGAGTTGACTAACCTTTTCCGGGTTTTCTATTTTTGGGATGAGAGTAATGAGGGTCGAGTTAACCTCCTTGATGATTTCCGGATTCTGCCACATTTGCTTAACTGAATTGCAGACATTCTCACCAACTGTTTCCCAGTTCTTTTGGAAGAAAATAGCTGGATATCCATCTTCTCCGGGTGCTTTTAGTCCACCAATTGAGAACATAGCTTGTTTCACTTCCTCATCTGTGATGTCATTACAAACAATCTGCCACTCCCTTGTCGAGATTTCCGGCCAGGTATGAGCAGTGTGTTTCCATCCTCTGTCTTTTATCTCTTCCGTAAATAGTTCTTTGAAAAAATCATTGATCATTTGGCTGACTTCTTGCTTATCTTCAATCCACTTATTTTCACCATTTTTCAGCATTGAAACACGGTTTTTCCTTCTGTGAATTTTTGTCTTCGTATGATAGTAAGCAGTGTTTCTATCCCCATCCTGTAGCCATCTTGTTCTGGCTTTTTGAAACCATAAGATTTCTTCTTGTTCCAGCACTTCCTTTAATTCTTCCGTCAGTTCTTGCTCAAGCCTTTCTAAATGCGGGTTGTAATTCTCTTGAGTTTTCCTCTGCATGCCCCATATTCTTCTCATCAGTTCGCTTTTCTTTTTTGCAATATGACCAGGAATCAGTTGTGATTTCTTAGTATGAATCTTAGCTGTCAATAAATTTTATGGTAATTAAATTCTTTCTTTTGGGACTTAATTGCAATTGGCAAGCTTTATATATGGGGTACAAAAGGTAAAACAGAAAAGAAAATAAAATAAAGCTTACCATCATCAGAAAGCACATCGTTTCGTCTGATGAAACGTAACGCTCAAAAATGTTTTTCGTTTTTTTGTGCATTAAAAAAAAGGGAAAAATTGTAATTAAAAATCCTAAAATTTGAAAAACACAGATAGCGACTCATGATAACTTTATTGTAGTTTTTGACAATAATAATATGTCATGAAGTTGTCAAATCTATAATGAAATTGTCATGAGTTTTTATCTGTGTTTTTCAAATTTCAGAGTCTTTTTTTTGCAATTTCTCTCCAAAAAAAATTCTCCGTTATTTTTTTATTTTATTTGATTATTTTGTTATGGCCATCAATTTTTATTGTTAAATTATGTTTTGCTAGACTTTTTATTATTAAATTAAAACTATGATATGACTTGCATTCCATGTATTATTTAAAAAAATAAAACGTATAACTGTATCTTATTAGAAAACTTGACATAATGTATATAAAAATTTAATGTAGATATTACATGTTAATTAAACTATAAAGTTGAAAACTTATAAATAGGATGATTTTATATTATTTATATAGATTAGATTTAATTTAATTTGTGACGATTTTTTCTTATAATAACTATTTGGATTTATAACTAATAAACTTTTTGAAAAATAACACATAAATGGCACTTTGAATTATGAGAACTCTACAATATCATTCGAGTAGTCATAAAATGGGGATTTTAAAATTTGTTTAGATAACTATGTCCCCCCCTTTTTGGGAAAAAGTCCTTAAGCCACCCTCACTAACCAGTTAGTCGCGTGAGTTCCAGTGATTGATAATTATTTTTTAAGATTTTTTTTAAAATTTTCGTGATTTGGTTAACAACTCTTGTAAATATTCACAATTTTATTAATGCCACTAATCATTTTTTTTAGATTTTTAAGCTGAAATTTTTTTAATTTTATTTAATGTGATTAATAATTCTTATAACAATATTCACAACTCTATTTTTTAGGTTTTCAAATGGGATTTTTTTTTTCAACTTCAATAACATAATTGGCAACTTTTATAATGATATTCACAAATTTATTAATGTAACTAACCATTTTATATGATAGGTTTTAAACTTGAAAAGGTTAGAGGAATGGAAACCATGTTAAA